CTCACCGTCCGCCGGCTGCTGGAAGTTCACATACGCGTAGCCCAAGGAGCGGCGGGTGATCATGTCCCTGCAGACCCGGATGGAGAGGATGGGCCCGGCCGGGCTGAACTTCTCGTAGAGCATCGCCTCGGTCACGTCGGGGTGTAGGTCCCCCACGTAGAGCGAGGCCATGGGGTAGCTGGGGGCGCTGGGGTTCATCTCGGCACGGCTGCCCACAGGGCCACAGGCCGCGACCTTTCCGTGAGAGGAGGAGAGCGAGTGCTGGGGCCGGGGGCCGGAGCCGGGGGGAGGGGAGCGGGGGCAAGCGCAGAGGGACAAAAATCAACCGGAATCGAAAACTACTCAACGGCCGCAGAACGGGGTCGATCCGCTGCCGCTGGCTGTAGGCTGCCGGCGGGAGAGTGAGGGTGGCGGTGTCCGGTCCGGGCAGCGGGAAGGCCTCGGTCTCTTGGTTCCTTCTTGGAGCTGCTGCGGGGCCGCGGGCGGGCGGGTCGGTCTCGGCTGCTTCACCGGGTTATTTTACAAAAGAGGAAGAAAAAAAATAAAAGTCTCCGGCGGGGGAGACGCGGATTTTTTGTAAATTTTTTTTTGGGTTTTTTAAAAGATTTTTTTAGATTTTTTTTGGATTTTTTTAATAATAAATGTGTGTTCCGAGCCCGGAGCACACACTCCGCACTCTCAGCACTAACCGCCGGGGAGAAGGGGAAGCACCGCCTCCTGCACCCTCTACTTATACCCCCCGCCGCACTCGCCCCGCCCACGCGCGTCTGACGCCAGGACCCTACGCGAGCGTCAGCGCCGGAGGAGGAGGAGAAAAGGAGGCGAGGGGGAGGAGGGAAGAGAAAACAGGAGGAGGAAAAAGCTGAGAGGAAGGGAGAGGTGGTGGCGGCGGCTGCTGCGGGTGTGGGGGTGGGGACTGGGACGAAGGGGCGGGGCTTCTGCGCACGCGCCGCTGCGGGGAGGCGGGGCCCAGGCTGCGTAGGACTCAGGGGGGAGGGGAAGGCCGGCTCGCGGGCGACTCTCGTCGGAATCGGGTGGGACGGCCCCTTCTGCCACACACCCCGCCCCCACCTCCGCCCGGAGAAGCGTTAACCCGTCACCGCGGTGGTGGGCGGTGCGCGGGGCTTCCGGGTTCCTAGATGCTAACCACCACCCACGTGCGCGGCCACGGGGGCCTGCTCCAGTCCCGGCTACCCCTGCTCCCTTCGCCCCTGTCCTGGGACGCTCGGTAGAGCGGGCCGGCGGGAGCTCTTGCTGGCCCAGTTTCCAAAACGTGCATGAAAGGAGCCTGTGGTGGCTCCCCCTTCTCCTACCCGGACCGCACTACGAGTCCCAGCGGGCAGCGCCGCCATGCGCGTCGGCCGCAGAACCGGTGCTTGCTGGGAGCTGGAGTCCCCAACGGCCGCGGCGCTCGCTGACCCCAACTGGCCGCGGGTCCTGGCCCCTCGCTCAAAGACCCCCAACCGTCCGGGCGCCGGGTCGGGGTCGCCGCTCCGCGGTGCTTCCCGTTGGAAAGGGGGGAGGGGAGAGATCTTTGGGCTCCTTAAGCTCTGGTTTCGGAAGCCTGGACACTCCTAGGGCACCCCACTGGACGCTGCATTGGTCAAAGTGACTTTATTTGGGGAAAGCTATTAGGGGTCTCTATCCACTGCCCCATTTAGAGTATGATTACTTTTAGGAGCTAAGTTGGGGTCATTCATTCATGCGTTCTGTTTCTGCGAGTCACTTCTTTGCGATAGAAAACTGAAGAAAAAAGTATTTTCTCATAAAGTATAAGTCTGTCACAGTCATGCATGGCACCATACATCTGCAACCACGCAAAATTAGTATAAAATAATGCATTTTTATAAACGTTTAAAAGTATTTTGTACATCACTTGTATTTAATGGGAATGCTAAAGTTAGTGAATTGTAGCCATAAAAATAGCAGTTAATAGGAATATTAAGTCAACATACAAATTCTCACTTTAAAGTGGTAATGTACTTAACCGTTTTTAAATCACTTGCATAAACATCCTATCATTTGTTCCTGACAGCAATCTTGTGTGGGAGGTAGAGCAAGTAGTAATAATTTTATTTTACTGTTAAGGGAACGGTCTCAAGTTAAATGATTGCCCAATTCATTTTTCAATTCAGTAAACTTTAATGCATGCCAGCTATATTGTCAGGTGTAGGCAGGACACTTGATTCTTAATTAAAATTTAAACCAGCAGAATCCTGCTTATGTGCTATTTTGCTCCATCTTGATAGGAAGAGAATATTTTTGAAAAACTTGTTTGCCTCTTGTATTTTATTAGGCAAAAGAACTTAGGTCTATGCATTTTGAAAACACATCTATTTCTAAATGATAATGTATTAGAATTCTGTCGTTAAAATCAATCCATCAATATACTTATTGAATGTCTACCAAGTAGAGAGGAGTCTATCTGTAAGTAAAGAAGATAGATGACATACAAAAAAAAAAAAATCTGACCTCAAGAGACTTATGAACAGCTCTCTCTGGTAATCATGTAAATATAAGCATTAAAGTCAGTGCAATAAACATCCAATGCCAGCACTTTATATGACTGTGACAGTTTTCTATTAGATTCTAAATTTTTTTAAAAAGAGGGTGGGAATTCCATTATTGCACTCAGAAAAGAAAACATGACTTTATTTAAATAGTGTTTTCATATAATGACTGAACAGAGACAGTATGAAAAACCAAATAGGTACAATAGATGAGGTGTACTCAGAAGAAAAGGGGGAAAGGGAGGTTACCTCTAACAACTAGGAAGTTAGATTGAAGCAACAGTAAAAACCACATACTAAGATTATCTACTCAGGGTTTTCTCACATACTTCTCTGGTAAAGGAAGATGAGGATATAGTTTCTGGTAGACCTCATGCAACTTAATTGTAGATAGCAAAGGTGGGAGAAAAAAAAAATGGCCTGCCTGGAGTCTGGAAATTTTTGTCAGAAATCAAGAGTTTGGCAAACTCTATCTAGTGTTTCCCTAGTGAGTTTGAGTATGCAAGTCACTAGCAAGGTCTTACTCAGATTTCACTAGAGCCTGGATAAAATTACTCTCAAATGACTTCCCTTGGCTATAGATTCATTGTGAACAAGCAGTACACCAACTGAAAAGTCCAATTAATTGTTGACCCTCCAGAGCACCTTAACACAGGCAGTGGATGCCTCAGATGATAGAAGTAGTCCAGTTAATGGCAAAGGTTCTTTATAGACTGATAGTTCTTTATAGACTGATATTTTGAGATGGAAGCTGCCATCAGGACTACTATGCCACTGTGCTTGATATTCAGTGAATGCCATTGTTATATTTTAGGAAAATAACAGTTAAGGATGTCCAGAAACAAAGTCTACCTTGAGGGAAGGGAGCCAGTGAATCAAGAGAGGGAGTTAGAGCCCATCCCAGGAGGAAACAGGAGTGCAATCTGAAATTTATTCCCTTGATCAATCGCCTCTTCCTCTTTATCTTCAGCCAGCCCTGTTCTCAGATTAGAAAGCTCTTTCTGATCAAAAGTCAAAACACACCTTCCTCTCCACCTCATTCTTTCAGTCAAGCTTTTTATTTCCACTTCTTGTCTCCTCTTAATTCCTCAGTGCACTACAACCTGACACCTCCACCTCCAATCAGACTGCCCTGTCAACAGCCTCTCTTCTTTTTGTACTTTCTTCAGGTTCATTTTAACTGACATCTGTAGAATCTGATCTTTTCCTCCCTCTCTCTTTCTTTTGTAACACACTTTCTTGGGTTTCTGAGCTACCACTATCCTGGTTCTTCTCAGGTAATCACCCTTCTCTGACCAGATTGGATTGGGTACCCGTTCTTTGGGCTTTATTCCCAGCCACCCCTCTGCCACTACAATTTATCACACTGAATTAAAATAGCTTTATCACGAGCTATCGCTCCAAGTAAGTGGGAAGCTTCAAAAGAGAGCTATGTCATATTTATCTGTGTTCCCATTATTGAGTGTGAGACCTGGCACATTGGGGTGCCTTTTTTTTTATTTAACCTCAGGTGCAAGGCCAGCCACATTTGTGGACTGACCACACAAGATGGTGGTTCATACTTGATGTCCACAAGGACACTGAGGGCTGGCTGTTGGCACTACCATACCAAACTCCAGACTACTGGAGGGAGTATTTCCTAACATACTGGCTGAGCTCTTATTTCCATTATTGAGCTTGGAGATAAAAGAGATTTGGTATTCAAAGTCAGGCAAGCAGGACAAACAAGGTCTGCTGGATAAAAGGAGTTTCTGGATCTCCAAAGCTGAGGACACTGTACGTTGGCAATGCTATTAATGTTCTGTAACCTTTCAGGGGCTAGGAGACAAGCTCCTTCTTTGACTTTACCAACATGACTGCTTCTGGTAGAGGTAATTAAGGCTACAGATAAAATGCAGAAGAGAGAACATTGGTCAACTCCCTTTGCCTTTTGATTTCACTACTTTCATTTTCTCCATCATTTCTTTTGGGTCTTAAAAAATGTGCTATCTATGTTTATCTGGCTTGCCTGTGTATATCTAATTTTAGAGTGCAAGCTGTGGGACAAAATAATGTCTTTATATGCACACCATCTCAGTGTGGGTGCCTTAGCGGGTCTCATAACATCAACATCATTCAATGAACGTGTTTTTAGCTTAGCAAGTGAAATATAAAGTTCTCCAGAGAACTTGTTTACTTGAACATCACTAGAGATTTATAAATAACTGAGGTTATATCCAGGATATATTCAGAATATCTCCAGACTAATTAATGTTTAAATATTTGAAGTGACTGAGAACATAAAAACTAGACATATTTATATATATACACACATACTAACATACTATATATATGCATATGTGTGTGTATATGTGTATATATGGAGAGAGAGTACATTTATACCTGTATATATACATTCTACTGAAGTAATTAATTTTCTGTAACCCCTGAAATAGGAAAATATTAAACCATAAGACTCAATGATACAATATTTAAGATTAGTTCTCTGTTTCATTGGTCTGTGTGGTTGGTGAGGAATATAATACCTTCTCAAATTTGAAAGCTGTCATGACCATAGTCAGAAAGATTTCCTAAAATAGGAGTCCTACCCTGGTTTTATGTTTTCTTCATAAGTATTACATGTTTTTCCCATTCCAACCAAGACAGATTTATAGGAATTTGAAATTGGTTCTGACTTTGTGTGTCAGATGATGTAACATGGCATTAGTTAGGAGACTATGGCTGCCAAGAAGACATAGATCTTGAAACACAGTCATAAACACAGACTCATAGAACAGAAATAAAATTGGAAGAAAGAGGTAATTAGTGCCTTCATTATAGAAGAAAGTAAGAAACTTAAGAAAAATCTTAGAACAATTAGGTTTCTTACAAAGTGTTCTTTTAGTAGATAGCCATCCGTGTTCAACCAGTTTGTGATGATTATCTAATACAGCAGGGATACTGCTATGACAGGCTGACCAATAACTCTGCAATAGGATTATTGTGAATAAGATACTATATGTAAACTGAAATTGCATCACACACAGTGTTACTATTTATTGAGTAACTCACATCTCTGTAAATATAAACACATATTGATTTATATAATACTAAATTCAAATTCATGGCAGAAGTATTAATAGAAATACACATACGCAGTCATACCAAAAATAGAACTATCACTCTCCTAAACTAATTCCAAGG